AAGGGGTAGGAAACATGACATGACAAAACAATTTGTATTGCATTTTTGATGGGAAGTTTTTTCCCAAAATTCATTGTCGTGATGCAGTAAGTTGCGGGATTAGGTGTCCTGCACTGTAGAAGGATTGAGACATGCATTTCTAGTGATGGATGACCAACTCGATATTAATATTAAGTTTTATTTCATTTTTTTTTATTTATATTTTGTTGATCATCATCATTTTTGTCGAGTTTCGGGGGTTTTTAATTAAAATTTTTTTAGATGTTTTGAGAGTATCAAAATTTACATGTATATTCACCAAAATCTAAGCTGCATTTTGATAAAAATTTATATGTAGTTATTATGCACGTTTTTGTATAATTAGTAAAAACAGGTGTCCAGATACTTTTGTCCAGGGAGTGTATATCATCTAAAATTTATTTATTTTAATTAAAAAAATAATTAATAATTTTTTTTTTAAAAAAAAAATACAAATAATAAAGTTAATATTTAATAACCTTTAATATGTTGATTTGATGGCCGAGTAATTTTTTGCTTACTTGATTTTGTAATTCTTGTCAGCATTTCATTATTTCATTTGATTTCCTTCCTCTATATGGTGCATCGTCATCATTCTTTCTCTTATAATATCTAATTTCTATCATATGCTATAGCATTTAGAACAAATTTTTTCACCCATCTTTAACTCATAATTCTCCACTAGTTCAGTCTTTTATTTTATTTTTCTGAAATATTCCACCATTTAGAGTCTCCCTACAAACAGAACAAAAGTTAACAGACATTTTGCAATTTAAGAATTAAAAATTGTAATTTTGGGTGGATCTCAAAATACTAAAGTGAGAAGGATATGATGTAAAATTTTGAAAGGTGTAACATATTGTAAAGCTATTGAAAAATGATCTGCATAATATAAATAATATAAAAGGAATGTCCACCATTTTGTGTAATACTCGTAAAATATTTTTCAAAACATTACTGGATTCAAATTATTTTATTAAGTATGATCTATGGAATATATCTTTTATTCATTTTTTAGCTTATGAAATTAAAGAGAATGCTGAAACTATAAAACATGAAGGATTAAAGCTTATAGATATGGTATCAAAATATAAGAAACATTTAAATATACAAATTGGAATAACATCTAATGAAAAACTTATAGAAGAATTAAATAAAAAGATCAAAGAGTCAGAGGCAAGATGTTTATTACTTGTTGACTTTATTTTGGATTTAAATTTACTATTAGTATACTCTTTTGAAATTACAACTTTGGTTGGACCTACTCCACACTATACATGCTATGGTAATTATTTTGCCAAAAACGTAATACGTAATACGTAATACGTAATTACGAAATTAATTAC